CACAAGTCCGAATGCGACCATTGCCTATACTTTAAAAATACTTCCTCTGTGCCTGTATTTTTATTGCTATATGTGGATGATATGCTTATTGTGAGTCCTTCGGGTGACGCCATTAAATGTGTGCAAAAGCGTCTCAGTGAGAACTTTGCTATGAAAGACCTAGGTGATGCCAAAAGGATCCTAGGGATTAACATTGTTAGGGATAGGAGTAAGCGTGTGTTAGTTCTCAATCAGATTTCATACATTGAAAAGATTTTGAGTAAATATAACATGCATTCTGCTACTCCCGTTTCTATCCCGATGGCGTCTCACTTTGTGTTAAGTAAGGATCAGTCTCCTAAGACTGCTCCTGAAATTGCTAAAATGAAATCTGTGCCTTATTCCAATGCTATTGGGTCCGTGATGTATCTCATGGTGAGTACTAGACCCGACATTGCCTATGCTGTTAGTTGCTTGAGTAGGTATATGTCTAATCCTGGTTTAGATCATTGGAATGCTCTTAAGTGGTTGCTTAGGTACTTGAAATCTTCTGTTAATCATGAAATTGGAGACCTGAGCTGGAAGACAACCCATATAACAGTATGTGTCATGCATATGTGTGCATGTGTTTCAATGTCGCACGAAGCTTATGTAGTTTTTTTCTTAATAAAAAAGGCCCTGCTACTTTAATTTGTGATTCTGAAGATTACAATTTGACGACACATCATATCTAGGATACAATGAAACTATTGAAAATAATATTTCTCCACCGAACCAACTAGCGGATTGAAAAAACGCGAGTAATTATAAGAATTAAAAACATTTTTTACAGTTATAAGTACTCATGCTAGAAGTTTCATATAGGGAAAACTTGATCTAAATTTCACGTCCCCCTGATTATCAAATTTCGTAGCATATAGCTTCTTCTTTTTTTGACAGAAAATTTCGTAGCATAACTAATACTGTACATACTTAAAATGTATCAATGTCCTTTTTTGTCTTTTTACCTACTAACCGCTATAAATAAACAGCTAATTTATCAAACATATTTTTGCAACCCGCCAAATTAATCCGCTGGTCAAACCCGTTGACTCAATCCGCTATTTTCAACCCGCTAACATAATCCGCTAACCGCTAACCGCTAACTGCTAAATGCCAAACATGGCCAATATTAATAGGTGTATTTCTTCGGCCTTAATGTAGTACTCCATAAGAGCCGAGGCTGATTTTTTCGGACTAGATATAGTAATAAACCGATTTTTTCTTTCAGAGTTCTACTAATTACTTTATTACTTACTAGTATTAATTATCATAGATTTAAAGATTTAATTACTTGAATAGTTGTTGATTTTTAATTGTATCTTTTTGAATTTTTGCCCCAAAAAATTGTATCTTTTTGATATGTGAATTCTGAGATCTTTAAGTTGTGAATGTCTTTATTTGGTTGTTCGGTCATGCATTTTTATTTTTTTTATTAATTACAAGTGTGAATTTTGAAATGCTAGATTTCTGAATAATATATATACTGAACTAGAGATATTACCCAAAATAGGACTAAAACAGTTTGGAAATTCCAAAATAGGACTTCCATGTTTTTTTTCCTGAAATAAGATTAATTACTGTCATATTTTGGCAGTACCAGACTTCAAACATAGCAGTATTTTCCAAATTTGGCAGTAATTAGTCCTATTTTGGAAATAAAAACATGACAGTCCTATTTTGAAATTTTCAAACTTTTTTAGTCCTATTTCGAGAACTTTCCCACTGAACTATTGATAGTGTTGTTTGGTATGTACTTATTAATGGGAAATTCATCACAATGACAACTCAAACTAAATAATACGGAACATACAATCAATTCAACAACTAATAAAATCACACAAACAAAAGAACACCAATATTTTAACGTGGAAAACCTTCTCAATGTGAGAAGTAAAAACCACAGGCACAAGTAACTCAATCAAGCTCCGCTGTGATCAAAATTAGGATTCAAGAGAGTCACAAAATATAGCACATATATTGCTCAACAATTGACTAAAACAATGAAGCAAGAATCACAAGTTAGAGAATCATGGAAACAAGAAAAAGGATATTCTCACTGCTACCATGCGAGATTGATTTCTCCCATTCACAGACTACTTCTCACCGATATGATCCAACCGTCCAGCTAGATTGAAGTATCTGATAGGGGTGGGCGCGGTCCGGTCCGGTCCAATATTTGGCCGAACCCGTACCCGTACCGTTAGTATTCAAACGGTTCGGTTCGGTTCGGCCTTAGACCTAAACCCGTTCGGTACGGTTTCATTTTGAAACGGGACGGTAGTACGGTACCATGCCATACCAATACCAAACAATGCCACTTTTTTCAAGTGCTTAAGAGGAAATTAAAGTTTATTCATCCTCCAAAAATCGACACAATTTATCAATTTTCATACTCATTTTATCCCAAATTGACATGCAAAGTCAATAATTTTTTTGTCAACCATGTTAAAGTTAAATTCTCTTTATTGATACTTGATTTATTTTTTAATAATTAAAATAAACATATTCAGAAACTACATTGAAATCTCTTCAAGGGTTGCAAGCTCCAAATTAAATATAATTAAAAAGTGACATTCGAGTTAAGTGAATAAAATGAAACTGTTTGACCAAGAAAAATTAATTTTGCAAATCAATTTGGGATGAATGTAGTATTTTACATAATTAATAAATTTCAGATAAATTATAGTAGTACAAATATAAATAATTAAACTATACATCGGTCCAATTCCAGGCTTCCTATGAATTAGCAAAGACGGTGAAAGTGTGAAGACAGTAGTCAAAATAAGGGTATAAATGTAAATTTAAATCATTGAATCATACTTCGGTCCGGTTCGGTCCGGTACCGGTTCTCATTTTATGAGAACCGGTCATGGCATTGTTTAGAATCAGTACGGTTCGGTTCGGGACAAAAAAATTGAGATCCATTTCAAATCCCATTTTTCGGTCCGGTACCATATCGGTTTGGTTCGGTACCATGCCGGTTCGGTATTTTAGCCCGCCCCCAGTATCTGAAGTCACAAACTCAAAATTTCAGCCCGGTCCGACATGTGAACGAAGTTGCAGTGATGACAAACATGTGGCAGCATAAGGGTTGTGCGAAAATCATTTCCTTCTCTTCTCTCTGGTTTTTCTATTTTGCCAATTAGCTCTCTTTTGGCCTTCACTTCTCCTCTCTCCACTCTAAAGTGAGACCAATGGGCTTGACATATTTTGGGCCTTTCTCGGTTTCGCCAACACTTTTGTATTTTAATTTTTTTATTCATCTTTATTTTGTAGAGATGAATTGTTTTTTTACTATGAATAAGCCAACTATAATTCACCTGAACTTGTCATCCCAATTCATCTTTTTATTATTCAAAAATAATTTATTTTTCAATTACATCCCCCGTTCTTAAATAAGTGCAAGGGTCAGTTTTTTACAATTGCCTATGCACAACTTTGACCATTAATTTATATAATTCCCTATTAATAAAAAAAAATAGATTTTGAAAAATTACAATGAGACAAATTTAATAATTTTTTTTCATAAATAAACATTAATACATTAATAAATAAAATGTAGTCAAAGTAGAACATGTGAATAGTGTAAAATTCAACATGTTGCACTTATATAAGAACGGATGTTATATGTACTATGAATAATTTTTTATTCATCTTTAACTTGATGTCCCAATTCACTTTTTTTGTTTCTTTTTCATTTTGTAACTATAATTCCCCGGCATAATCAGGGCAATCCGGCAATGGCAGCACTGATGCGGTCGGTGGAAGCAATACGGTGATCATCAACCACAGTCTGGTGACCAAGCTTGAACTCCTACAAGAGTACAATGTTTGTCCAATCACAAATTATAACTCGTATTTAGACAATTCTAAACATTGACTCCTATGTTTTGAAAAAAATGCTTTAAAATGTTTCCATTAGCCTCACTTATTTATCTTCATGTGTGAGTGTGACACACTTTGTAGCTTACCAAAACGATTGTCGCAACTGAAGCATGGTGGCTGATCGATTGTCCAGAATATATATCCAAACCTACAAGAAGCTATTTGTAGGTTACCAAAGCGATTGTCAAAAATCTCTCGACTTACAACACTACGAAAAAAACACGAGATTGACAAGGATTTTGGCAGGGATTTGGCACGGATTTTGGCAGGGATATGCCAAATCCGTGCCAAAAACACTTTGGCACGAGCTATTTGGCACGAAAAGCTCTTTGTAATAGCTGATATATTTTAGGAATATTGTGTATTTTAATTTGGAAACTGATATTTTATTATAAATATACCTGCCAGGGCTCCTAAGGGAGTACTACTTTCCCATTATTCTCACATGGTATCAAGAGTTTGACCTAATTTTCTTCTCTCTCTAATTTTTTTTCGGCCGCCTCCTTCGATCCTATATGTCTACGGCCGCAACAGTGGTGTTAACCACCGTGGGTTCCGATGTATTCGTCTAAAACCGGCTCGAGCCAAACCATACGAGCACGGTCGGATCTGTAGAAGTGAGAGCGGATGATTAAAAAGATGAAGAACTTGAGCTCGCGTGATTTCACATACGAAGAACGAAAGAAGAAGAAAGGGTTCTATGATCTGCGAAAGAGATTTGGTGTTGCCCAATGTTATTGGTCTTTAATAGGCAGCCTAAAGTGGAGGGTAAAAATGGAAACTAAAAACTAATGTTCCTAAAATAGAACAAAATAACTCATACAAGTGAAAAAAATTAACTAAGTCCTAATCATGTAAACTTTGTATTATTTAGTCTTATTTTGCACAATTTTGTCTCGGAACAAACATGAAAAAATCTAGAAAATCTCTATTTGTCACTTTCTAGCTCTAATGTTTTGCTTCCATTTCTCGAAACGATCTCTTTCTACCTCTTTCCTTTCTCAATATTTTTCGGAATTGTCCCAAAATGTTGATTATGTCATGATAAAATAAAAAAATGTATACCAGGTTTGTCGGTGGGAATCTATCCAAATGCAACTTCCAAATACCAAACAGTGAACTTAATTAATTGATTCGAATCCAGAATTTCAATACAAATTAAATAAGAAGTATGATTGAGTAATACATAAATAAATTACATATTCAGTTACATGCAATAGCGAACATGGGAACTATTATTTTAGTCCCACACACATCACCCACTCCGAGTGATGACACTGCTTTATTATTACTTATAATTTACTTCATTCATCACAAATATAACACTACTAGAAAATAACGGGATCGAAACACATTTGACACGGATTTATCAACAGTTGCATGCCAAATAACTCGTGACAAAACGAATTTGACATGATTTGGTGTAACCGTAACAAATTCCCTATATATTTTAGCGAATTCCGGCCAAATATTTGTGCTGGTCCTGTCTCGTTATTTTTCTGTAGTGTAAACTTTGTTTATATATTCCATTGCAGCACACTAAAACATATGAAATGAATGGTTATGTCCCGGATTAACAAAAATCACGAGTTGACTTTTCCGCAATTCTTTCTGATCTGGCCCTTAGTGCCGGTGAGCGGACTGAGTTTTCCCATTTTGACCATAGCTCTAGCGAAGTCGTGGGCGAAGGTTGACAGACTGGCGGCGTAAGCGTTGACTATGGAGTCGGTGGCTCCGCCGTGAAACAGCTGCTGGTCAGAGTGGAACAGCCCCTTCTGGCTCTGCAAATCCGTGAAGTAAGCCGTGTCAAACGTGGTGGGAGTGGGGTCCATTTGGACGAGGTTGTTGTCACCTCCAGTTTTGGGGCATTTGGCTTGTAACGATGTTGCAAATGCGGCATTGATATCTTTGTCGTTGTAGATCCGGTTTCGAAATGTGGCGCACCTCGCCTTTCCTATCGTGTGACCTCCTGGAATTTAAAGTATATATATACTCCGTATTATTGAAGTGCTGAAAGAAGTTATTCTCCGATAAAAAAACGACAATTCCGTGCACATTGAGGTCCTCATAAGTGGAGAATCCCGGAAAGAAAAAAAAAAAGAATGACACCTCATCCCTGAGAGCCCCCAACACCGACCGGACAGCACGATGGGAGGATGTAAGTTGGACTATAATCACAACCTGATAGATAGAGAGTGGGGCTCCGTCCCCGGTACTTGCAGAGGCCCTATGCATTTTTCAGCATAGTAACCCCTTATCGCAGTTGCCGGTATTCGAACCCGAGACCTAACCCTTGTGGCACTCCCTCGCTACCAGTTGAGCTACGCCCACCGGTGGAGAATCCCGGAAAGGGTTCCACACGAGGGTGTATTGGGGTTATTAAGTATTACGGAGTACCTTATTATTTAGACAAGAGGCCGATTCAAAAACTTGAACTAGTAACCTCTCAGTCACACTTTATATATGAAAACACTTAATTATATTTTAATTATATTTTACCTATATTTAATGTTCCGTATGATGTTTTTAAAATATTAAAGTAATACACACATATATACACTGAAACTCTAATTTTGACATTGTTTTAGTGTGAGGTGTAGCTATCATTTGAGTGTATGTTTGACATCAATGATATAAAGTAGCCTATTAAAATATAAAATAGCATGAATATACAGTCTATGAGGTATTGTTGTTGACACTTAACCCAAATAAATATTCATTTTTTAGAACGAATAATACATAGTGATCAAGAAATAGTGCACTCCCGGACTAAGGATATGATTTAGTTATCGCAAAAAGCATTGATATCGCTAGTGAATACTAGCGTGTAGTGGTTCATGATGTTTAAAAAAAAAATTCTTCCGGGTGTTTGACGCAGGATCAAATCATGGGGCTCCCTTTTTGTATTTTAATTTAGAAGAACATTTAAACTCTTAAAGTTGGAGAACATAGAATTGCTAGGATGATGTGTATAAGTTGATGTGGTGACCTATAGTGATAATGAGATTTGACATGACAAAAAATGCACATGTTGAATGAGAGAGATAGACACGTAAACATAAACCATTGACATTTATCTCTCATTGTTTTCACGGTTTTATACAATTTTGATAATAATGTCAATCACAATTTTCACATCTAGACATTTTTCTTGACATTATGGAGAAAAACTTACCAAAAACATGTAAGACCGATCATGTAAAGAGAAATATATTTTGCTTACTAATATTTGTGTGTCTACTTTCTTATGCCACATGTGCACCGTGCACATTGTGGCATTGGAGAAACTCTAATACACTTCGAGAAAAATCCTTATATAAGGCTAAAACACAAATAAAATGTACATATATAGGACCATTTTTATTTTTTTCCTAAAACAAAACTCATTTGTTCCTAATAGCAGAAGTTTCATACGTTTCATAAGACCAATTAAGTAATATTTTAGAAATACAACATATGTAGTCACATTTGTACACTATATTGAAATTCATATAGTCACATTCGTACACTTTATATACAATAGTAAATGTTAGTCATATTTATTTTAAAACAATTTCTATTTGAAAGTTTGGACAGAAACATACATTTTCGACAGAAACATACAGACAGAAAATGTAACGGAAGATAAGAAAAGCAATAAAAAGAAGAACCTGAGAGTACAACCAACTCCCTGGCGCTAAATCCCTTTCTGGAGAAGAGAGATTGGAGCTGATTGAGAGAAAGTGTCGGTGCAGGAACATCCCGATTAGCTGCTGCTTGACTTGCCGTGGTTGAGTCCCTTCTGCCTAGGGAAAGATTCCAGCTAGGCCCCCCTAGCTGAACATTTTATTTTGACTAAATATATAGAACGAAAAATACGTTTCTACTCACTTTAGTACTTACTTTTGTACCCACCCTTCTATTTTATCAGTGTACACAGACAATTCGTTAGGAAGAAAGTAACATTTCTCTCCCAATTGCATGTGTACACAGGCAAATATACAAATGTGTGTACAAAAGTGGATACAACTAAATACAATAAGGATGTTTTCTTTTGAACTGTTTTCAGTCCCAGACAAGACCAGACCAGACTTAAACAGACTAGATCAGACAAGACCAGACTTCCATAGTTATAAAATACACAGAGACCAGACGTTTACTAGACCAGACCAGACCAGTTCAGACCAAACCACACCAGACCAGACCAACAAATTTGAGTTCAAAAAGAAAACATTCTAATTCAGCTCATGTTTATGCTACATATCATCTTATTTAGTTTGTGTCAATTTCAATTTCATATTGACATTAGACATACTGATAGTCTGACATACAATATTGATTATATAAATATATTTAAATTTCAAATCCACAACATATAATTGACTATTAATATGTTCAACTGTCTGTTACGTAGTTAACTAAAATAACACGGACTAGTAAAAGACTATTTTAAACCTTTAACTTGATATCATTTTTACATCATTTATTATGGGCCTAAATGTGTTTCAAGTCTCTGGAAATGTACTACATTTTGTTTGACATACTTGAGAAAAATATTTTTTTGTTTTAAAAATTATGTTGATTTTCTTTAATTTTTAGTCAATCACCGTGATAACAATCTCCACTTAGGACTTCGAAATAACCCCGACTAGCTAGGCCGTCTTGAGCTCTCGGCATCTATGGCTTCTTTTAGGGATGAAAATATGGCAAGTGTGAAACGTAACTTAATTATCTACACAAGTTTTTTTTACTGTTACTTATCTACACAAGTTAGATAAATGGATAAAAAGAGTAGAATAAGAAGGATTTGATAGAGACAAATAACTAGAAATAAATAAGTACTCTACTTGTCTCTAACATTTTTCTTCCATTCCTTTTAATCCCAAACATCTTTCTGTTTTTCCGGATCGGACTCCGAAGGATATATTACACTAACTTTTTTTCAATGGTGTATATCAATAACCTTTTGTGTGTGTGATGGTGAATGCAATAATGCATCATTCGATCAAATCAAGTCAATCACGTAATTGCTAGTCTATAGAAGCATCACTTTCCTAATTTATTTTGATAATAATACTACGTAAATTGATAGGCTTTGACAAGTAAGCTTGAATTACTGAACAACGTAAAACAAAATATAGATGAAGAAATAAATGATGCATAGCTACACTTCAATTCATGCACTGATACAAGTATGATAATTGAATGTATAACTGTATACTCCCACTCCAATTACTGAGTTCTAAATATAGGAAGAAAACGTAACAAATAATTTAAAATAGGCCCAATCATATTTTCATCTTAAAATAGAACTTATGTAGTCTTATTAAAACAAGAAAAGAATAAAAACTTCTCTGAATGGAGTGTATAACTCCTACTTGAAAAAAATTTGCATTGTTTTAGTCATATTTCGGAGATTTTTTCATTTAAAAAAATTGGCTAAAGGGTCAAGTAGGCCATCCAACTAACTTAAAAAGTGCAAATCACCCCTTATATACGAGACTCTGTCCGGCCATCTTCATTTGGGGCGGTTCCCGGTGGAATTTATTGATGAAATTTTTTGAGAATCTTCTTCATTAAGTCTAGTTTACCCATACCAAATTTCAGATAAAAATTCAATCGGGAAGACAGTCAAATGATTTTCTGAAATGTACTACGCTGTTTAACTGCGACCACCCCCTTGGACTTTCAAATTTTTCTACTATATATGTAATATTTTCATAAAATTTTCATACTTTAATTAGTGATACTACCTCCGTCCCAAAAAGAGATGCAAATTTGACTATTCTTAGTCAAACAGTCTCATTTTGTTCGCTTAATTAGGATGCCAATTTTTAAGTATATTCTAATTTGGAGCTTACAACTTTGAAGAGATTTTAATGTAGTTTTTGAATATGTAAATTTTAATTATTAAAAATTGAATTAATTATCCATTCAAAGGGTTGACTTTTATTATTGGTTGACAAAAAATTGTTGACTTTGCAAAACAAATTGGGACGGAGGGAGTATATGTTTTCTCCCTCCTTAAATTTTAGTTTTCAAAATTAGTATATAGCCTTACATAGTGTAATACTTCATTGGAGATTTAAAAGAAGTAAAATCTAAAATAATTTACATAAAATAATTTACATAGTTTAAGACTTAGGATACCTATTATATAAAAATTTCTAGTTTTTGTAATGTTTAATGTACTCAATATTGTAAAATATAAAACAATAATAAATAGCAGGCACACTAGTTAAACCGTTTTTAGATCATGTGAAGTAAATCCAAAATATAATTGTTTGGTAACATTAAATTATACAATTCATTTACTTCTTACTTTCTAAAAACAATTTACTGCATAAATAATCAAATTGAACTTATTTGAGCATTAATACAAATATAATTTGCATCATATATATGAATTAACAATACTACGTATAAATTGTTCCAAAAACAATAATCTCATACATACTATTGTAATATTAAGAAAACTCCTCGTGACCCATGAACACCCTCCTTGATAGATAAGAATTACAATTCAAAAATCAATTGTTTATTCTGATAAGATTCATGTGATTAAACAAGACATAAGTTATTCAAAAAATATTGGTTGATAGGTACCTTTTAAACTTTTTACCTTCAAATAATTTGACAAAATGTTATACTATCGTATGTGTGTGTGTGTGTATAATGTATCAATACTTTTTCTAGAGCGCTTACAGTTACAAAATCAAAGTTATTTTTCCATTGTCTAAACTTAGAATGTAATAGATTTAAATGTTATCGTGTATGTACTAATGGAATTTTTTGAATAAAAATTAGCTACAGAGCTCTACACTTGTTAAAAAAATCGCTAGCTACACCAGCGAAAAATTTCGCCCCGCTACATTAGCGAAAATATTTTCACCTCGCCGCACTAGTAAAAAAAATCACCCTACATTAACGGAAAAAAATTCGCCCCCTTAAGTGGAAATCCTGGATCCGTCCTTGTATATTGACCTTAGACGAAGTATTTTAATATCTATATAATTATACAAATGATTAATTTAACACATCCAATGTGTAGCTGTAAGATTCTACATGTTCGATATAGGGGGTGTTTGGATCTGATTCTCTAAACTGATTCCGCTCCTTCAAGGAGCAGAATCAGAAACTAGAGTGTTTGGGTGAAATTTCAGAAGCGCTTCTGGGGCTCTAATTTACTCCCAGAATCAGTTTTTTTTAGAAGCTGGTAGGTACCAGCTTTTGAAAACTGATTCTGATTCTGCTTCCACTTTTAACAAAGAAGCAGAAGCAGAAGCAGTTCCAAACACCCCATACACTCGAGGGAAGCGTACATCCTATATCAGAATAGATTTATAGACTTATATGCTAGAGGTTAAAGCTAAGGTCGACCACCCCTGGATTTGGATGTAAACTATACGGAGTATCTAAACGCTACCTTTACCCATCCTTGAATAAAGTCCCATTCTCGATCGGAGGTTACATATATTCTACTTTGTATTTAAAAAAAAACTACCATTACAGATTTACCTATATATCTTTTTTCTCATTACACAAAAAGAAAAACTTATACTTCGTATATAATCTCATTGTCTCAATTCAATACTTGTACAGTTATACTTGTCGGACGACTCGGGCCGCTAATTGAATGGTTTAAACTATGGAGTGAGCAGATATGTACAAACAAATTATTAGTAAACAATAATTGTCACGTACTCAACCAAATTATGAAGATTCAAATCCAGAAAACGTGCTATAAGCACATGCAACTTAATGATCGATCATCCAACGACGATGCCACTCCAAATGTTTTGGGCTCTAGTCCACTTTGGTCTCAATTTATCTGTTCTCATCTAATATGTGTACATTTTCATTAATTAACTCCAATTTATTATGCTTAAGTGTTGTCTGGCCGGACTAGATTGGTTATCATTGGTACTCCGTATAATATATATAATTTTACTCTTGTCTTAGTCTAGTCTAGCTACTCGATCTACTAATTTAATAATGTCCTAGTCTTGGGCGATCTATTTTAGTTTGATCAAATTTGATCACATTCAATATAATCTGGTTTCATTTGATACTCATTTCAAGTGAATGAAAGCATTCTACCATTTTATCGAAAATTTTGCAAATGGCGTCTTTGTCACGAGGATGAAAATAGCAAGTGAATATGTCTGACCTACGTAACGTATATATATCTTGAAAGTTGAAATATACATCATGCAAAAGTGTAATTGATCAAACTACGTATAGTATATTAACGACGCCCATGAAATCTTGATACCATTTATTCCAATTATTATTAAATTCTATTCGTCCTTAAAGTGTTTATAGGGCACAGTGTTTTAAAGACAAACTATTCCCTCTGTCGCTATTATATAAAGATCCACATTCATTTTACACACATTTTAAGAAAATGAGATTGTTTGACACTGTTTGAACTATTTTAATTACTAAAAGAGAAATAAGACTTTTATTTTAAGAAAAGCGGAACTTTTATTTAGGGACGGAGCCCTAACGGAGGGAATATTTGGTTAGATTTACTTTGAGAGATAATTAATGTACTTTTTAAGTTGTTAATTAGACAGTAATTAATATTATTGGGCCACTAAAAAAAAGATGTAAATAGTTTGGAAATGGAAAACGTGAATTTGTTTTTGTACTTACGGCAACAACGCCATCTCTGGCTGCAACGGCAACAATATCAGCACAGGAGACGGTATTAGGGCAAGCTTTCTCCAGCTCAGCTTTAATATCGTCTATAATGTTCAGTCCTCTGATTGAGTTGTTATTCGGCGCCGCCGTTTGCTCTCCGATGAAATTTGGCGTATCATCTAGTAATATTGAAGCGTCACATCCCTGCAACACATATATGCACCTCCAATCGTTATATATATTACTCTGTATGTACTTTGTAAATAAGCACTACACCTGTCTTATTTTATGTGTCTCACTTTGATTCGGCACGATTATTAATAAAATGGTTGAAAAAGTAAAGAATGTGGTTGATGTTTGAGTATAATAAAGTGGGATGGTGGCCACATATTTCTTTCCGAAAAAAGAAATGAGACCCTTATTTTCGAACAATCCAAAAAGAAAGTAAGATAGGTAAAATGAGACGGATGGAGTACTACTTTTGTACCAATTTAAGAAAATTGAATAAAATAATTGAACATTATTTCAGTTTACTATAACAAAATTTCGGGCTCAGCTCATAGATTAAGAAATTATTGTAACTTATAAGAAAATTAATTAAATTTCACGTTGGTTTGCAACCGAACGGCTATTAGGTATAGTGTCTAAACTAGTTAGCATATTATTACATCTAATATTTAACCCCGCCGACTAGCTAACAGGAATCTTGGAATCTAGCTTATTATATATATTGGCTCCATTATATTTTTTCTATTATTGATATTCAAACAATACTTATTAATTATATACTAGTATCATGCATAAAATGATAAAAACATCTCTGGCTATATATAGATAGGCCTGCAGAAGTTAGCTTCATTGTATCGGCCCGAATGCCCCATTATATTTTATGCGTTTAGTGCGAAATTAGCAAAGGCTGGCTAGCTAGCTAGCAAGACCTTATTATTAATGAAATGGTTACTTTAATTTACCAATGATAATTACTTTATTCTTTCTCGAAGTATCATGTGCAAATAAGTGATTACGTTACGGTCTTACGGAGTATTTTTTTCACCACTAAACTAAGATTTCGCTTTTCGCAAAATGCACACGAATCGGACTCATGTTTCATTGAGTTTGTAATTGTGACTTAATGAATTCAAGATGATTTTTTTGCTAAATGAGTCTCACAATAAACTTTTTTATCACCTAAATAACATGCTCCCTTTCCATTTTATCTATTATACTTTTCTTTCTGAATTGTTCCAAAATAAGTGTCATGTTTCGTTTTTTAGAAAAAAGTGTAATCTACAACATTTTATTTTATTTTATTAAACTCAAATTTCAACCACAACTTTTACATTTTCAACCATCTTATTAATAATAATGTCAAACAAAATAAGACACATAACATTGGACATACATTCTTTTCTTAATTGAAGGTGAGTGATAAGTACAGCAAGAGTGTCGTTATTAGCGCGGATAGAAATTTAAAACATGTCAACTTCAATTTTATAGCTTGGATACAAATTTAATTAGTGAGACCAACTAGTATGGGCTTGATATTGAGAGGTCCGATATTAGCCTATTGATCAGTCTAAGGTTGAGATTTGTACGTATTAGCATGGATGATTAATTTCGTCCTTATAAAGTGTATAATAATAAAGAAGATAAAATTTTCTAAATATGAGTAAAACATAGTAGTACTAATTTTCTCAAATAACATTATTATTGTTTGTTTTCCAAAATATAACTCGTGCACTCCTATTTCAAAGAAAGTTTTATCCCTTTTTATAAAATTGGCTCCAAATAGGACTATAATATAGATAGAGAAAAAGCTCGCATAAGAGTAATTTCGTTTTATTCTCAAATCATGACTTATTTGGTTTTATCAAAAGTACAAATCATTCTCATATAGAAGCATATTGGTCATACTTCAACAAGAAAACATTGACGGTCTTATACTCTTATCTTATACATATGCGTTTTGTGTATGTTTTGGTACTATTTAAAAATATCGCCCTCTATCCTTTTAATCAAACTAAATAGATGTTATTAGGATAAAATTAAATAACATACTTAATTAGTTCTATTTCAAGACTACTAAAATTTTACTTCTAGTAACTTCAACTTAAGGTTGAATTGCCTTTAAAGATAACATTATCTTCATCAAAAAAAATTGCTAACTTGATCTAACGAATGAAATGGACGTAATGCATAATACTCCGCAATAGAGAGTACATTAATATATCGATGAGCTAGCTAGCAGGGCTGATAAGATTTTTTGAGGATTAAAATATAATTTGGGTGAAATTCAAAATTGACCTGACACAATAATCATCTTCAATTTACTCCCTTCTTTAAAAGTTTATCAATATAATGCTTACTTCACTTTTTCTACTCTCCAGGCCACCGTTTAAAATAATTTTACTTTCTTCATCTTTCCTAAAATTTTAATCTTCTTTTCTCTTTGTCGCTTTTTATATACTTTGTACGCATTATATATAATAATTACCCACAAGTTAAAAAACAAAACAGTAAGGGCAATAATTATAAGGAAAAGTATTTGAAAAATTATTTGGTCAAAGAACACAAAACTTTCGGAAAAGGAATACTTCGTGTATGCCAGTTATTGTGGAACTACAGTAAAAAATAAAACCAAAAAGAAGATAAAAATTAAAAAAGAAGCTAAGAGACTTGCATTGACGAAGCAGTCATGGAAATGGAGGCGAAGCAAAGACGCCCCCATCCGAGCCTCCGCCTTCACGGCTTTGACGACGGCGGCCTTGATGATGGAAAGCGCCTTCGGGCATGTCGGGCAGTAGAAAATCTCCGACAAATGGTCGTCGGCGAAGTTGGGACGGGGGAGAACGGAGACAATAATAAGCACAACAAGTGAGAAGCGGCGGAGTAGGAGCTTAGCCGCCATGGCAAATTTATCAGCTCCGGAAAGAAGAAACTAAGAAAAGAGTGAGTTATAGTACGTATGTTTCAAGCTAGGCAGCCGGCTTAATTTGTGTGAGCCTAATGCCAAGAATCTAAATGCTATTTATAATAGCCAATTGTATAGATACTATAATAATTGGAGTTACACATACAAATATATTCACTCCTAAAATAAAGAATATAATCTTCAATGCCATAATGACACCGAACACATATACCTGGTAGTGTATATATCCTTATATATCTTTTGTCATCAATTCATTCCAATATAAAATGAAAAATGGAAACAAAATACTTCTTCACTTTTGAAAGCTAAGTCAATTATAGAGTAGTGCCTACTTTTCAAAATACGTGATCAAACTTTTAAATTAGTATACATTTCTACTTCTAATTAAGTCCAACCAATTTATCAAACAATTAATGATCACTATTAATATAACTTCTACACTCATAAAAAAATTTATAAATCCTCACGGATGCTAAACAAAGTCTAAATTGCATAATGCATGTTCATTACTTTCTCAAGCAAAAACGTACTTGTATGTTATACGCGAAAGTGTGATAAGTTATACGAAATAGGATACTTACATGTACTCATACAACCATGCATTTTTGTCATTCCATAACTCGATCAATAGACAATAATGCTCATTTTATAACGATTATATATAATTATATTATAATTTTTTTCAAATACTTTTCATCCTTACTACAATGTTCATTAGAGTATACTAGATCCGTCCAACTAACATTGGTGCATGAAGTGGTTGTGCACTTGTGCGATTATTGAAAAAAACGAGTTCATGTTAGGTTTGTGTTTCAGCTCACGTCTCCAATCAAAACAACTCACACACACCACCCCATGATTGTTTAGCCACTCCACCACTCACCAAGTTTAGCCCACTCTAACTCACCTCTTTAGCTCTCACTCACAAAGAGGAAACTCTCAAGGATGAAGAAGACTCTAGCAAACTGCCTCACTCACAGTATCACACCTCACAGTGACTCAAACACTATCACTCACAAAGAGGAAGGGGAAGCTGTCTATACGTCACACACATTACTATGATAAGAGTCAACTCTTATAGCAAAGGAAAAGATGCCTTACTAATCAACTATAAGAGTAAGACAAACTAAGGGGAGCCCAACAAAGACAGTGGATAGGATAGCAATGGGCAAGACAATAACAAGGCCATGTGATTCGGTAGTGAACAAACCCAAGAAAAAATAATAGGAGCACGGCTAAACCTAGGGTGCAGGCCTTAACACGAATAAGTGGAAGAGAGGCTTTGGTAGGACTAATACTGTTGGGCTATGCGGTGCCAGCAATCTGCCAGTCTGCCGGTGCAATCGAACCGCGTGGCGCTTCACATTTGCTATAAATGGGGAGGAGCGTGCTGCACTATCAACGATTGCTTTTAGTGTAGCGGTAAGCGCAACGATCCACAAATACCTCCAACATTCTCCACCTTATTGGTCCTAGGTGGTGTAGAGTAACAAATACACAGTTGTGAGGAGACTCATCATCGCTGAACCATTACAAGTACATCATTCCGATAATACAAGTAATAGATGAGAACCAAAGTTCCCTTTCAGACCAAGCTTACCATGCAAACCCAATTCGTAATGGACTGAACTCTACCAATCGGCTCTCGAGTTCAGAACTGAAACCATCACAAAACTATTAACAAACACAACGCATGTTAATAGACCACGCAAGCAAACAACCGGGAGAAGTTGGGGATTCCAACTAATCCAACAACCACATAAGGCAAGTACAAAGAAAATAAAAGAAACAATATTATTTCTATAACTAGCAAAGGTAAAGCTCACATAATCACTTGGTATCACATTTTCAAAACACAAAAAATAGCATATATACCAAATATCACAAAGATTTTAATTAATAGAGAATTAAGCACATCTAAAGCAAACTCAGAGGAAATATAGTCAAACACTTTGCACTTATTATTTCTCTCATGCACCCTAATGTCTCTATCTCTAATAGCATGGAATCACACAACTCAAGCATATTGCACACAAGACTCATATCAGGCTCCACCTTAATAGAAATATTATTTTCTTCATTTTCAACATGAAAATCATTTTTATTCACAAATTTGGGTTCGGTTTCAAGAAGTAAATCAAAATGAACTTCAACAGGCAAATTGTGACACCGCACCCGAATGTCCTTGGAAATTTGATTTGAATATTCAAAGCTTATGTATTGGATTTCTGATTCCCAAACATTTTGTAAAACGATCAATGTTCTACGTAGTGCATGGTTGAATATCGTACTGTTCAAACTCGTACATTAGTGTCGGGTTTCGCAAATACTTACTCGGGACTTATTAATAAATAAAAGAGCCCAACATTATCTATATAAGTGATCGAAGGATTAAAGAAGAATACAAATGCCTATAACCCCATCTTTGGCATTTTTGAGCTAAATAATGGGAGTAGGATTTTCCTTCTATAACATCCATCAAGTAAATTATTGGGATGAGCCTACACATATTGGAGGTCAATAATGTGATTTAGGAAGTTGACTTGTTCTAAATAAATTAGGATGAGTACAAAAAGACATCTTTGACAAAGATAAAACAATAGGACCCATCTTCCCATTTTTGGAAGTATTGGTAGATATTTTGGACCCCAAATTGATTGGGATTAATTGGGGGGCATCCCATGTGGCTTGAGTACCTGCAAGACAAGGAAAATATGTGAGGAGACTCACCTTGGCCGCACCACATGGAGAAGCATTGCCCATGACACAATTGGGATCAAATTTTGGGGCCACCACCACTGTTTTCGCACAAACAGGTGTGCTGTTTTGTCTCCCTTCATTTTGAGAGTTGTACTCGTCCAAATGGGGTGTATAAGGTGTCTTTGGATAGCTTTTGAAGTCTATTTTCATATTTGAGTGGCCACAGTTCGAGAGGAGAGAGCAATCATCCAAAAATCGATCTGGAACGAGCAGAGGTCTGTGAACTCGAGCTGTGAGGGTGCTGAGACTGTTTGGTCGATATCTCGAGTTTTACCAATCCAATTAAGGCGTGTGAGATACCAAAAGAAAGCTCTCAAGACGAGGAATCCGTGAAGGTCTGGTTTGCATCAATCGGAGTAGAGGAAGGCTTCCAAATCGTCCGAACAGAACGCGACCTCGCAGGAACGGATTTACTCTTCTAAGTGAGTTGTTAATCCCAAAAACTTTCCATTCATTTTCCAAATGATATGAACGATTGGTGGAACTATTATACACTACTCCAAGTGTATAATATGTCCCTATTAAGTTATTTTATTGATGTAAAGGTTAGATACTAACCTAGAACAAATCTTGGAAAACTAGGAAACGAGTTAGCCGGAAAACACCCATTCTAGGGGCTGTTTTTGTACCAACGTTTAGGGGTTGAGCTAGCACCTTGAAGAGGCTGTTTAACACTCATATTTGAGCAAGGAATCAGTTCCAAATCCACCTTGACCGAAGCTTTGACCATTGGACCAAGAAGGGAAAGTTTAAAGCTCAATTGAGGTGAGGATTGACATCTAATTGCTTACAACTTGTAGGTTAAGCATGAGATTACCTAAATGCTTAAATCATTATTTTTCATGGATTATGATGATCATATATTGATGAAATATTGATATAGTTGCCAAAGAATGAAATTTGAAATGATTTGAGCATGTATGGATAATATGAGATTTGATGAGTATAAATGAACTATTTTTGCGAAATAGGTATTTTGCTCATGTATGAAGTATTTGGATACATAAATGAATATTTGTGTATTGAGATTGAATACTTAAGTTGCTGCTACATAATTATAATTATGTAGAGAATTACAAATAAAGAGGATAGTGGTATGATAACAATAATCTTAATAGTATTGAAATACTAGTTAGTGATTATTGGGACTTGTTGATTAAATTGATCCTAGGGATTGGATGGTATGAAAGGTACTTGAATATAGTTCAAGTGTATATAATAACTTAGTTTGGAACTAAGGTTAAGTTATGGGGAGTCTTTAAGGATGATCCAAAGTAGTTTAATGATATGTCAATTCTAGGCATATGGTTGCTTGAGAATTGGACCTTAATGCATGGTGATGTAATAGAGCCGAGCTCTAGAATGCATGTAAGGTGTAGACTTGGAGTCTATGTATTGAATAGCTAGAGCCGAGCTCTAGGACTTGCGTGGTGATGTAATAGAGCCGAGCTCTAGAACGCAAGGTAAGGAAATTGACCCGAGGTATATGAATTGTACGGTGATGTAGTAGAGCCGAGCTCTAGAATACAATGTCATGTACTAGGGTTGGATTCTAGGAGTTGTCGTGGCTTATAGTCACGGGGTTGGGAATGGTGATTTCCAAATGAACATGGGCCCACGGGCCGTCTACTTGACTTTTATATAAATTAAGTATATTTTTAAACGGGGTAACTTAGGGTTACAATCATAATGTACTATCACCCTATTTGAGGGTCTTGTGTTTGAAATACTTGTTGTATATCTATTAGATGCCTGCCACACCAGTACTTTATAGCCGTATAGAGTACTGACCCCTTCGGGGGCGTCCCACCACCGTTTCAGGTTGAGGCTAGAGCTTGCTTCCTGTGCTCGTTGCCCGAGTGATTTTCCCCGGAGAGAAGACTTGGTTCGTGCTTCCTCCATTCAGTTTTAGAACATTAATAAACATGCTCATGGATATTTTACTTTAGAGCCTGCGTGCTCATGTTTGCCCGGTGTGGCCCTTTGTTTTAAACAATGTTTTCCGCTGCGTGTTGAATTACTTATTATGTATGTTTATGGATGACTTTTGTGTGAATGATATTCATGACGCCTTGTATAATATGAATGTGTTGGACTGCGGTTGACTATTCGTATTGTACGGCGGGTTGTTGACGTGTCCGGGGAGGTCCGGGGCGTGACAATTAAGTTGGTATCAGAGCCTTAGTCCATAAACTTCATAATGAAGTCTCAAAATTCTCTTTTTGAAAAGATTTTGAAAACCATGAGCATAGAAGTTTTGTACTTGGAGAGCTTTTGGTACTTGGGTTGCAAGGTCTCTAATTGTTAAGATGGTACCCTTAGCAATTGGTATGGCGGTGACTCGAGCCAAAATGTGTCTTAAGTACCTATCCGTCAATTGACATTTGATACGAGTCTAACGACTCTTTCCAAATTCTTTCAGAAATGGACCGTGGTGGCAGGATTACTAGGAGAAACCCGACCGGCCATGTACCAGTGGAGACTGGACAGGGCAGTCGAAGGACCTCTAGGGCATCTAGAGGAGCTGGCCGTGGAGGCCGATCATAGACCGTGAGTGACGGTCATGTCGACACGGAAAGTGAAACCTACTGGTCCTATGAGGACTCGACCTATCGACCGGAAACTGAGCCGGTTGAGACCCCTTATGAAGGGGATGATGATGATGTAAGTGATGAGGAGGAAAATGGCTCCTTAGCACGGATTGAAGCACTACTTCAACAGTACCACCGTGAGCGTGAGGAGAGGAGGGAACGTCGAAGGCGCCGGGCTGGGCAACCTTCGGGCGGGGCTTCAAGAGGGAGAAGCCATGGCGACTCTAGGGCCCACATTGAACCACATGGGGGTCGGGGTGATGGGGGTCTGATGAGCTAGAATTTGTTCTTCATTTTTATATTACTTTATTAAAATTCTAAGCTAATTATTTACCTAATTGAGAGGTTTGAGTTATATTTTGGGATAAAAATAATTTTTACAGGTGAGAACTTTAATGGAAGGATTTGAGGACTTTTGTACTGATTTGTGGAGATTTTTCCCTTTTCCAAGGGCTGTTGAAAAGTTGAAAGAAAGTGAGCATTTTTTTTAATGAAAAAGGATTCCTGTGCAGCAAAATAGAAAAAAGGAAAAAGAGGATTACTCCTCATTATTTACTCGGCATCAATCGCTCAGACCAGTCGGGGGAGAGCTAAAGCAGTCCAGTGGCGCACAAGGGAAAAGGATCCGATCCAAATTAAAAGAGGGCAGTTATCTCAGTCTTAAACTCACACACCTGCAACCCAAATCCGGAAAGAAAAGAAGGAACAAAGGGCCCAAGAACAGTACGGAATGCAGCGAGAGAGGAACTCCTGGTTTCATTAGTTCGACCGGCACCGAAAATTGAGGCGGCTAGCGTGTACAGCGGCAAACTGATGAAACGGCTGTGCTCTTTCGCTATAAAAAAAACGCAGCAGTGATTCTTCTTAGAGGACGTTCGAGGTCGGGGATTCTGGTCGGGCACTAAACAGAGGAAAGGGCCAGACCGGAAGCTGGAAGGAAGGCTCGTTACCTTGTCTAGTTGGCTGGATTCCAGAAATAAGAACAGCATCAGCAAGTCTTGGAGAAAATTCAGCAATAGCTACACTGGTTTGCTGATATGAAATCCAATTTTCTTCTATTTTTGCTATGCATTCGATTCGTATAATGTCTAGTTTTACTTATGGAGTCTACCAAAAGTACTTTGCTCTTTCCTAGAACGGTGAATCGTACTTGATGGCCAGAACAAATTGCTTTATTCATATTGTTCTTTATTGTTATGAGTAGCTAAATTCTTTAAGTCCAGGAGTATGATGAAGTTGCTATGATTTAGTATGAATTGTGATTTTAGTTATGTCAATTGGTTGAGTTTTATCCATTGTTCTTATTCGCTTAATTGGTTGTGTTAATTTCTGGCCAACTTTAGCATGATTAATTAAGTTGTGAGTGGATTAATAGAGTACATGCCATACCTATTAGTTCGAGCTCTTTTGGATAAAAGAATAGATAATTTAGTTGTCTTGTTAGGTTATCTATTTGGTTCTTAAATCGGGTTTCCGTAGTTCTTTTGTGATTAATGGATTTTTAACTATTGAATTAATAATTTCCTGTTAATTAATAGTTAAAGTACGTGACTTATTCTGGACGCCATACGGAATAGTCATATTTTTGTCTAGAACGAACTCTCAATTCTAATTGACTAACTAAATCACAAATGCTAAAAATTAGTGACTGAATCATAATCCTGGACTATCTTTTCTCTTGTTAAATTCTCAATCAATTTTACGTCAGTTGTTTGATCACTTTATTTTTAATCAATTGAATTCCTTGCATCCATTTTAATTCAAGCTTTACTTTTCAGTTTCAAATCAAAACATTCTCAAATCTCTCTTTTAGTTAAATTAATTTTATTTTTTTTATTTTTAATTAATAGTTTTCCAATTACTTAGTTGCATTTTCCCCGTGGATTCGACCCTTACTTGAGCACTGTACTATCGCGATTCGTGCACTTGCGAGGACTATTATAAATTGTCTATCAGGGTCCAATCATAAGGATCTCCAAATACATCAAAGAGGCACGAGACTTGGGGTGCAAACCGTTCGATGGGACGGGTGACATCTCCGTTTCGGCACAATGGATTAAACGGCTGAATGAGGCAGCCCTGGACATGCAACTCACCCCCGAATATAAACTAAGGGTTGCGGTGAGATTGCTTGAAGGTATGGCATCCAAGTGGTGGGATGGGACCAAAGGCAAATATGGCGAGACCGTCACTTGGGAGAATTTCCGACAGGAATTCTTTGCCCAATATTACTCGGATTTTGAGGTGAACAAGAAAGTGAGGGAATACACCCTTCTAACCCAAGGGGGTAACATGACGGTGAGGGAACTTGAGTACAAGTTCAGGGATCTTGCCGATTACATACCTGAGTATGCTTGTGACGAGAACCGGATGGTGAACCACTTCTGGGATGCTCTAGACTTGGAGATACGTGACAGGGCAACGCAATTGCCTAACATGACGTTTGCTCAAGTGGTTGACCAAGGGTTGAAAGGAGAGAAGCAATGGGAAGAAAGGAAGAAGAGGGACGCCGAGGAGGCGAAAAAGAGAAAGTGGGAGAGTCATGGCTCCCAAGGTTCCAACAAAAAGGGGAACCACGGAGGAGGATCTTTCCGGGCACCACCGCCACCATATAGGGGGAACCAAGGCCCGAGTGGGCAAGGCGCGAGGTCACAAACCTCAGAGGTAGCTCGTTGCAACAATTGCAAGAAGAACCACTCCGGTAAATGTCGCGACCCCCCTAGATGTTTCCAATGTGGGGATGCCGGACATTTGAAGGCGCATTGCCCACAATTGGGCGGGACCAGGACATCGGGACCGAGTAGTGGCCCGACGGGTACACGGAATCAAACCGGGGCTTCTCAAGCAAGCCGGGGACACGGGGGAGCGAGTACGAGCAACGCGCCATCCGTGAATCAAGGAAGGACTCAAGCTCGAGTCTATGCGATGACGGAAGCGGATGCTCGAGCGAACCCGGATTCCATTGCAGGTATTTATCTCATTAGAGTGTGGTAGATTAGCCTTACTTGTGTGTACACGTTTAGGGATTAAGCCCCGAACAATTTAGGATCACGTGGGGATGTTTAAAGTTAAAACGTACAAAAAAAGGGGGGAACCGGCGCCGGAAACCCACTAACCGGCGCCGGAGATGGCGATTCGGTGAGCCTGTTTGGAACCGGCTCTCTCCAACCGGCGCACAACGAGGCATTTTTCCAGCCAACCGGCGCCGGACACCCCCTAACCGGCGCCGGATCTGCCCTGGGACGAGCCTGTGTGCTACCGGCCCTCCATAACCGGCGCTGTTAGCCTGGAAACCCACCCAACCGGCGCCGGAAACCCACCAACCGGCGCCGGACCTTCCCTGGAGCAAAGCCTGTATGGAACCGGCCCATTATGACCGGTGCAGCCGGGACGTTTAACCCGGGCAACCGGCGCCGGTCAAGCCCGAACCGGCGCCGGTCCGAAACTGTTTTCGTCCGAAAATTTTCCGTATCAAAACGGGGCCCACCCCGTTTGAACGGTAAATGCACCCTAACCCTAAATTAAGTTTAGACATGTTAGGAATGGTGTCTTACATGGCTTATAAATGTAGGAACATTAAAGATTAATGGGAAGGATGCACGAATCCTTATCGATACCGGAGCGCAACGTTCATTCGCGAGTGAGGCGTTTGCCGAGAGCTTAGAGATACAATCAATACCAATGACACAAACCTTAGTGGTATCAACCCCACTAGGGGAAGACGTTGAAAGAAACAATTACTATCCATCTTGTACGGTGGAAATCGGTGGCCAAACCTTGACGTGTGATTTCGTACCGCTGAGTATGATGGAGTTCGATGCAATCCTAGGGATGGATTGGCTAGAAAAGCATCATGCTAGGGTAGATTGCTACACAAAGGTGTTGGAACTTGAAGGCAAACATGGGGACACCCTACGCTTCGAGGGGGACCGAGGCAAATCAAATAGTTGTATCATATCCGCCGTAAGAGCGAGAAATATGATGAAGAAGGGATGTCACGCATATCTAGCATACGTGGTTGACGAGACCAAGGAAGAAACGAACATCGATGATGTGAGGGTGGTTTGTAAGTATCCGGATGTCTTCCCTAAAGACCTACCGGGGCTTCCACCTGATAGGGAGATTGAATTTGTGATCGAGGTTGAGCCTGGTACCAAACCAATCTCCATACCGCCATACCGTATGGCACCCGCTGAACTTAACGAGTTGAAAACCCAATTGCAAGAGCTTTTGGATAACGGTTTCATTAGACCAAGCCACTCCCCGTGGGGAGCACCAGTTCTTTTTGTGAAAAAGAAAGACGGGACACTTCGAATGTGCATTGACTATCGTCAACTGAACAAGGTCACAATCAAGAATAGGTATCCGTTGCCTAGGATTGATGACTTGTTTGATCAACTACGAGGAGCAACCGTGTTTTCGAAGATTGACTTGAGATCGGGGTACCATCAATTGAAGATTAAGGAAGACGACATACCAAAGAGTGCTTTCCGCACAAGGTATGGGCATTTTGAGTTCCTTGTTATGTCGTTTGGGTTAACAAACGCCCCAGCGGCATTCATGGACTTGATGAACCGAGTATTCCATAAATACTTGGATCGATTCGTGATTGTGTTCATTGATGACATCTTGATTTACTCAAAGAGTGAAGAAGAGCACGAAGAGCACTTGATACTTGTTCTTGAGACACTACGGGAGAAGCAACTTTATGCCAAATTTTCTAAATGTGAATTTTGGCTAAAGGAGATTGGCTTCCTCGGGCACGTGGTTTCAGGATCGGGAATTGCTGTTGACAACAAGAAGATAGAAGCCATTACTGAATGGGAGAGGCCAAAGAACGTCAAGGAAATTCGTAGTTTCCTTGGATTGGCAGGCTACTACAGAAAGTTCGTGGAAAAGTTCTCTGTTTTGGCATCGCCATTGACGAAGCTCACTCGTAAAGGAGCTAAGTTTGTATGGGATGACAAATGTGAGAAAGGGTTCATGGAACTAAAGAAGAGATTGACTGAGGCACCGGTACTTGCATTACCCAGACAAGGTGTGGGGTACGATGTCTACAGCGATGCGAGCATCCAAGGGCTTGGATGTGTACTGATGCAGAATGGGAGGGTAATCGCCTATGCTTCACGACAGTTGAAGAAGCATGAGGTGAATTATCCTACTCATGATTTGGAGCTGGGGGCAGTGGTGTTTGCACTGAAGATATGGAGACATTATCTCTACGGGGAGACATGTCACATATACACTGATCACAAGATCTTGAAGTACGTGTTTACTCAGAAAGAGCTAAACATGAGACAGAGACGGTGGATGGAGCTGATAAAAGACTACCATCTAGTGATAGAGTATCACCCAGGCAAGGCAAAACGTGGTGGCAGATGCTTTGAGCCGGAAGAGCTCGTCTGGGGCATTGCTAGCTAATTTGAGGGCATTAAGAGCCCAACTGGAGGTATCCAGCGATGGTGCCTTATTGGCACGATTTGAGGTGAGACCTACTTTACTTGATGAGATCAAGAAGGGTCAGGAAACCGACGAAGAAATTATGAAGATCCGGGAACGCATGCAAGCGGGACCGGTGGAGGACTTCAGAGAAAGAGATGACGGACTCTTATTATTCCGTGACCGAGTGTGTGTACCGGCAGATGAGAAGCTCCGAAAGTCCATCTTAGAGGAAGCTCATTCATCGGCTTATGCCATGCACCCGGGGGGCACGAAGATGTACCGTGACCTGAAGGAGAGTTACTGGTGGTCAGGTATGAAGAGAGAAATAGCCGAATATATCAGCCGATGCCTTACTTGTCAACAAGTTAAGGCAGAGCATCAGCATCCAGCAGGCTTATTGCAACCACTTTCCATTCCTGAATGGAAGTGGGAACACGTGACTATGGATTTTGTGGTAGGTTTGCCACGGACAATCAGGAACTATGATGCAGTTTGGGTTGCTGTAGATAGGCTCACAAAGAGTGCACACTTCTTGCCAATCAACACCACTTACCCACTTGAGAGGTTAGCCAAATTGTATACGGATGAGATCGTGAGGCTGCATGGGGTCCCAGTGACCATTGTATCTGATAGAGACCCACGATTCACATCACGTTTTTGGCCAAAATTCCAGGAGTCTATGGGGACGAGATTGAAGTTCAGTACTGCTTTCCACCCACAGACGGATGGGCAGTCTGAAAGAGTCATACAGATCCTAGAAGACATGCTGAGGGCTTGTGCATTGGAGTTCCAAGGAAGTTGGGACAACCACTTAGCACTTGTGGAGTTTGCCTATAACAACAGTTATCAGGCAAGCATCGGCATGCCTCCATACGAGGCATTGTATGGGAGGAGGTGCCGTACACCGTTATGCTGGGACGAGGTTAGCATGGCCAAACTCGAGGGTACTGAGTTGGTTGAGGTCACCAAATCAAAGGTGAAGTTGATTCGAGAGAGACTCAAAGCGGCTCAGGATAGACAAAAGAGTTATGCAGACAAGCGTCGAAGGATCTTAGAGTTTAAGGTTGATGACGAGGTATTCTTGAAAGTTTCTCCTTGGAAAGGGATCATTCGGTTCCAAACCCGAGGAAAACTTAACCCATGATATATAGGTCCATTCAGAATTATAGAGAGGATCGGGGCCGTTGCATATCGTCTACAGTTGACTCCTGAGTTAGAGAAGATACATAATGTGTTTCATGTATCCATGCTTAAGAAGTACGTGCATGATCCCTCTCACGTATTGGAGAAGCCACCTGTAGAGGTACGTGAGGATTTGAACTACGCTGTTCAACCTATCAAGGTCACCGATAGAAAGGTGAAGAAACTGAGGAGCAAGGAAGTCTCAATGGTTAAAGTCCTGTGGAAGAGCGATCGGGTCGAAGAAGAGACATGGGAAACAGAGGCTTTGATGAGAAAGCAGTATGCTTTCCTATTCGAGTAGAGCTGTGAATTTCGGGGACGAAATTCCTGTTAAGGGGGGGTGAACTTGTGACACCGCACCCGAATGTCCTTGGAAATTTGATTTGAATATTCAAAGCTTATGTATTGGATTTCTGATTCCCAAACATTTTGTAAAACGATCAATGTTCTACGTAGTGCATGGTTGAATATCGTACTGTTCAAACTCGTACATTAGTGTCGGGTTTCGCAAATACTTACTCGGGACTTATTAATAAATAAAAGAGCCCAACATTATCTATATAAGTGATCGAAGGATTAAAGAAGAATACAAATGCCTATAACCCCATCTTTGGCATTTTTGAGCTAAATAATGGGAGTAGGATTTTCCTTCTATAACATCCATCAAGTAAATTATTGGGATGAGCCTACACATATTGGAGGTCAATAATGTGATTTAGGAAGTTGACTTGTTCTAAATAAATTAGGATGAGTACAAAAAGACATCTTTGACAAAGATAAAACAATAGGACCCATCTTCCCATTTTTGGAAGTATTGGTAGATATTTTGGACCCCAAATTGATTGGGATTAATTGGGGGGCATCCCATGTGGCTTGAGTACCTGCAAGACAAGGAAAATATGTGAGGAGACTCACCTTGGCCGCACCACATGGAGAAGCATTGCCCATGACACAATTGGGATCAAATTTTGGGGCCACCACCACTGTTTTCGCACAAACAGGTGTGCTGTTTTGTCTCCCTTCATTTTGAGAGTTGTACTCGTCCAAATGGGGTGTATAAGGTGTCTTTGGATAGATTTTGAAGTCTATTTTCATATTTGAGTGGCCACAGTTCGAGAGGAGAGAGCAATCATCCAAAAATCGATCTGGAACGAGCAGAGGTCTGTGAACTCGAGCTGTGAGGGTGCTGAGACTGTTTGGTCGATATCTCGAGTTTTACCAATCCAATTAAGGCGTGTGAGATACCAAAAGAAAGCTCTCAAGACGAGGAATCCGTGAAGGTCTGGTTTGCATCAATCGGAGTAGAGGAAGGCTTCCAAATCGTCCGAACAGAACGCGACCTCGCAGGAACGGATTTACTCTTCTAAGTGAGTTGTTAATCCCAAAACCTTTCCATTCATTTTCCAAATGATATGAACGATTGGTGGAACTATTATACACTACTCCAAGTGTATAATATGTCCCTATTAAGTTATTTTATTGATGTAAAGGTTAGATACTAACCTAGAACAAATCTTGGAAAACTAGGAAACGAGTTAGCCGGAAAACACCCATTCTAGGGGCTGTTTTCGTACCAACGTTTAGGGGTTGAGCTAGCACCTTGAAGAGGCTGTTTAACACTCATATTTGAGCAAGGAATCAGTTCCAAATCCACCTTGACCGAAGCTTTGACCATTGGACCAAGAAGGGAAAGTTTAAAGCTCAATTGAGGTGAGGATTGACATCTAATTGCTTACAACTTGTAGGTTAAGCATGAGATTACCTAAATGCTTAAATCATTATTTTTCATGGATTATGATGATCATATATTGATGAAATATTGATATAGTTGCCAAAGAATGAAATTTGAAATGATTTGAGCATGTATGGATAATATGAGATTTGATGAGTATAAATGAACTATTTTTGCGAAATAGGTATTTTGCTCATGTATGAAGTATTTGGATACATAAATGAATATTTGTGTATTGAGATTGAATACTTAAGTTGCTGCTACATAATTATAATTATGTAGAGAATTACAAATAAAGAGGATAGTGGTATGATAACAATAATCTTAATAGTATTGAAATACTAGTTAGTGATTATTGGGACTTGTTGATTAAATTGATCCTAGGGATTGGATGGTATGAAAGGTACTTGAATATAGTTCAAGTGTATATAATAACTTAGTTTGGAACTAAGGTTAAGTTATGGGGAGTCTTTAAGGATGACCCAAAGTAGTTTAATGATATGTCAATTCTAGGCATATGGTTGCTTGAAAATTGGACCTTAATGCATGGTGATGTAATAGAGCCGAGCTCTAGAATGCATGTAAGGTGTAGACTTGGAGTCTATGTATTGAATAGCTAGAGCCGAGCTCTAGGACTTGCGTGGTGATGTAATAGAGCCGAGCTCTAGAACGCAAGGTAAGGAAATTGACCCGAGGTATATGAATTGTATGGTGATGTAGTAGAGCCGAGCTCTAGAATACAATGTCATGTACTAGGGTTGGACTCTAGGAGTTGTCGTGGCTTATAGTCACGGGGTTGGGAATGGTGATTTCCAAATGAACATGGGCCCACGGGCCGTCTACTTGACTTTTATATAAATTAAGTATATTTTTAAACGGGGTAACTTAGGGTTACAATCATAATGTACTATCACCCTATTTGAGGGTCTTGTGTTTGAAATACTTGTTGTATATCTATTAGATGCCTGCCACACCAGTACTTTATAGCCGTATAGAGTACTGACCCCTTCGGGGGCGTCCCACCACCGTTTCAGGTTGAGGCTAGAGCTTGCTTCCTGTGCTCGTTGCCCGAGTGATTTTCCCCGGAGAGAAGACTTGGTTCGTGCTTCCTCCATTCAGTTTTAGAACATTAATAAACATGCTCATGGATATTTTACTTTAGAGCCTGCGTGCTCATGTTTGCCCGGTGTGGCCCTTTGTTTTAAACAATGTTTTCCGCTGCGTGTTGAATTACTTATTATGTATGTTTATGGATGACTTTTGTGTGAATGATATTCATGACGCCTTGTATAATATGAATGTGTTGGACTGCGGTTGACTATTCGTATTGTACGGCGGGTTGTTGACGTGTCCGGGGAGGTCCGGGGCGTGACACAAATGCTCCACCTCATTTAGAGCAACATCAGGATTAACACGCAAGCAAGGAAATTCATTTTCAACAAAAATGACATTTCTACTTATCAACACATTAAAGCAAGTTTCACTCCTACACCAAAGCCTATAACGTTTCATGCATTCATGATATTTTAAGAAAACAAATTCCTTAGTCCTACGTTTTGTTTCATCATTCTCATGATTCACACAAGCAACACAACCAAACACTCAAATTTGGCAAATCAAGCGGTTTGCCCATGAACACAAATTCAGGGCATTTCCCTCCTAAGGGAACAGACGGGGACATATTAAACAAATAGCTTCCCACCAGAACTTATTAGAGAGCCCAAATGAAGCTAACATAGCCCTCACCCTCTCTAATAAAGTTCTAATCATCCTCTCAGCAACCCCATCCGGTTGGGGTGTGGAGGGAACATATTTATGCATAGAAATACACCAAGTATCACATAAATCACCAAGCTGATTATCACAAAAATCAAAACTGACATTTGTCCTTAAACACATTATTTTCTTACCGGTTTGATTTTCAACAAGGGTTTTCCAGTTCTTAAACTCATTAAAAACATCAGATTTATTTTCAATCAACAAAACCCACACTTTCTTTGAAAAATCATGAATCATATATCGTCAGAAAATGATTTTTCCCACCATGAGTGGAAACACTATAAGGACCCCACAAATCAGCATGAATACAATCAAGCACATCAGTACACTTAGGCAGATCAGGAAAACAAACTCTAGACTGTTTTCCTAGCACACAGGGTTGAACACAATTCACAGAATCAAGTACGGGTTCAGCATGACAAACATACAAGTTGTTTTTCATCTGAGCTTTAACAACAACTAAACAACCCTTCACAACTTTCATGATTCCTTTCCCCATTTTCCCTTCAAACCATCATTTTCAAGAGAAGCACAAGATAGCAAATTACAGCACAGCTCAGGAACATGCCTAACATTCTTCAAAGTAAGCACATAACCAGAAGAGAACCTAAGGCATACATCTCCTATTCCTAACACATTGCATTTCTTCTCATTTGCTAAAGACACAAAGCCATGCTCAATCTCTCTATAGTTTGAAAAAACATTTTTCAAAGTGGACATATGAAAAGTACAACCAGAATCTACCACCCAATCTGATTTAACCAAAGAATCAGATATCACAGAACTCAAATAGTCATAATCACATAGATTTCTCATAATAAAAATATCACCTAAATCATCTTCACAAGTAGTAAAATTAGCATGCTCACTATGCTCATTTTTCCTAGATTTAGGACAGTCTTTTATGAAATGACCAGATTCGTGACAATAATAGCAACGCCTCGAATTAGACCTAGACTTAGATCTATGTCGTCTACTATTATCTCTACCCCTCACATGCATAACTTCCTCGGATTTTCTACCCTCACCCATCTGTTTTAAATCTAATTCCTTACTCTTAAAACCATTTACCACAATGTCAAGAGTCACATTATCTCTACCATACTTAATAGCAGATTTCACTTCACCAAAGGAATCGGGAATAGCATTTAAAAGAGCAATAGGGGAATAATCATCTATATGCTTATCACCACACAACTTAATATCTGAGATATGTTTAGTAAAAATATCTAGATTTTCTTCAATATCCTTAGACATATCTATTCTAAATTTGAAGAACTTTTCAAGTAAAAATATCCGGTTAGGCAAAGAGGTTTCGGTATAAAGCTCTTCAAGTTTATTCCACAAAGATTTGGCTGATTCTAAAATTTCTACTTTTCTGAGCACACAATCAGATAAGTTCAAGTAAATTGCAGAACCAGCATTTTCATTCATTTTTGCTTTTTTCTCTTTCGTATCGGAAGTCAAATAGTTTTCACTAATGGCCCTATACAATTTTTGTTGAATTAATATGCACTTTATTTTCTGTTTCCATAAACTAAAATCAGTTTTTCCATTAAATGGAGTCATTCCATACTGATTAAATGCAGACATTTTCGCACAGAAAAATTAAAACAAGAAAATTAAAATGCAACTTTAGCTAGAAAATCGGTTCAATATTTATAGGGCTATAATTGTACGGAGCAACTAGCGCGAATAAGCCGGGAATAACAATGAGCACAAGACTCCATTCAAACCCTTTATTCTTCCATACAAGCACAAATAAATATAATTATAGCAAATATTAAATCAACAATAAATCTAACAATTTAAAACAAATGAAAAGACAGAAAGTGAATTTCATTTAAAAGAAGACTTACAGAGTTACAGTAGCCAAACACTTGGAGAGTGTTTGAACCTTACCCACCCACAAAGGATTTTTGGATTGTTGGCTGGCTTTGACCGGCGTTGACCGAGTTTGACTGAGCAGTTGACCGAGACTTCCTCTGCTACAGGTCCAGCCCCAATATCAAACTCCAAGTCCAGCTCAAAGTCCAAAAAGTTCAGCAACTGAGCAGACCAGCAGCCCAAATCCGGTTCTAGTCTAGGGGAAGTGTTCTGACTTCTGCAGCGGTCCCAGACTCCCAGAGATGCTTCGTCCCTAACTCTGCTTGTGCGTCAAGGCCTTTTGCGTTCAGCAGCAGTCCAACGACGAGCTGCAAATCCAGCGGCAAATGACAGTGATAGGCGACGAACAAGAGTCAAGGACGTCCAGAGATAGCGATAGCTATGGCGGACGAACGTAGATCCAGACAGCGACCTCGACGGGTGACGGTGACTCCCTAGCGACGAGTGGACAGAGAAATGGACGGCCGACGAAGTTCACGACCTTCAGTCGACGGCGAATGGCCCAGCAATCTCCGGCGACAAATCTCTCATGTTTCAGAGAGAACCCACTAACCCTGCGCACTTTTGATAATAGGTGACAAGCGACGGATTTCCAGACTCCTAATCGACGGCAGACGAAGCACCTAGCTCCTGCGAACGGCAAACGAGCAGTGACAAGGCTTCAGGGACAGCAGGAAGCCTCTGGTGACCTTGAATCGTCGGCGAACAACAATGGGTGGCGGCGGATGGCGGCAGATGGCAGAATCCGGCTCTGATACTACTGTTGGGTGTGTATATCAGCTCAGGTCTCCAACCAAAACAACTTACACACACCACCCCAGGATTGTTTAGCCACTACACCACTCACCAAGTTTAGCCCACTCTAATCTCACCTCTTTAGCTCTCACTCACAAAGAGGAAACTCTCAAGGATGAAGAAGACTTTAGCAAACTGCCTCACTCATAGTATCACACCTCACAGTCACTCAAACACTATCACTCACTAAGAGGAAGGGGAAGCTGTCTATACGCCACACCCATTACTATGATAAGAGTCAACTCTTATAGCAAAGGAAAAGATGTCTTACTAATCAACTATAAGAGTAAGAGAAACCAAGGGGAGCCCAACAAAGACAGTGGATAGGATAGCAACGGGCAAGACAATAATAAGGCCATGTGACTAGGTAGTGAACAAACCCAAGAGGAAATAATAGGAGTACGGCTAAACTTAGGGTGCAGTCCTTAACACGAATAAGTGGAAGGGAGGCCTTGGTAGAACCAATATGATATGCACTAATTAGTAGTGCATAAGTGTATGTTTTTATGTTTGATTTGTGTGTATTATTTATCGTTTTATTTAGTTTGTAAACATTTGTGTGATTTTAGTTGTAATTGTATTTTAATCTTCATTTATAAGTTGTAAAATAGATTTAGGATTTATGGTGTTGGAAAAGAAGACTTTGAAGAGAATAAAACAAGAAAATTGACTGCCCAGGAGCAAAACCAGACCGGGTAGAAATCCCCACCCGGTCGGGTAAGATTTAACAACCGAAGAAGCAAGGAAATTGCCAGACCCGGTCGGGTCCCCTACTTGACCCGGTCGGGTCAGATGTGACCCGGAACACCAAAACATGCCGAAGATCGCCAGAATGTGGAAAATATCTGATTTTGACCAAACCCGGTCGGGTCAACTATGCCACCCCGGTCGGGTCTGATTTGACCCGGGACAAAACGACGTGCTGAAGACACAAGAACGTGGGAAATATTTGATTTTGACATTTACCCGGTCGGGTATGTCCATTTACCCGGTCGGGTAAATGCCCTAGGGTGTTGAAAACACCTATAAATAGCCCCATTTTCCTTCACTTTTGATAACTCCTTCTTCCATACTCTTAAGCTCAGTTTAGAATATTTTTTTTTTTTATATTTTTATAGCATGTTTAGTCTCCAAATGAGGAGCTAAACTTCCATTTCTTGGTGTTGTTCTTGAAGCTTGTTGATTATTAAAGTTGTGAGTTATTTTCTTAACTTCTTCCCTTGAATATTAATTATTCTCTTAATCTATCTATATATTAATGTTGGGGAGTGTTGCTAAGATGATAATTAGTTAACATCTCGACATTAGTTATAGTAGTATTTATTTTCTTCCTCTATATATTAATGTTGGGGAGTGTTACTAAGATGACAATTAGATAACATCTTGACATTAGTTATAGTAGGATTATTCATATTTAATCTTCTTCCTTGAATATTAATTCTTCCCTTAATCTATCTCTATGTTAATGTTGGGGAGTGTTGCTAAGATGACAATTAGTTAACATCTCAACATTAATTACTACTAGAAACGTTCAACAAACCGATGGTTAATCGTTGATAGTTTCACAAGTAAGTAACTTCGGTTCATTAATGCACGGTCGTGGTTAATAAACTTAAGAGTGATTAATTTTGTTGGTTAAACCGAAACCGTTGTGTTGAGGTTATCAATCTCAATTGATTTCATCAAGGAGTTAAGAGATTAAATGCTACTATCAAGTCGGTATATGGCGTTGTTCTATACTTGACTAATAGTAAGGGTTATTAATGAACGGTCGTTGTTAATAACTACCCTCGATGAATTGGATATACTCCTCGATTGAGTATTCGAGAGGGGATAAGTTATAGATAT